GTGGTGAGAGCCACTAATACTCTAGTGACATATTAGAACGCATTACCACTGCAGAGATACAGACTACTGTCTAGATTTCTTCCTCTGGTAAGAAACTAAGGTGGTCTTACATCTGTAAACTCTGCCATCTCTAGGTCATATACAAACTTCAGTATTTTATTGAAGACTTGAGCTGTCTGGGGTTCAGCAAAATTAAGTTAATCTGAAACTAACAATTATCATTGATCTCTAGGAAGTCTTTAATTTCTTTATTTCTTCCTTGGCCCATTGGTGATTCAGGTGAGCATTATTCAGTTTCCATGAGATTGTAGGCTTTCTGTAGTTTTTGTTGTTGTTGAAATCTAACTTTAAACCATGGTGGTCTGAAAGAACACAGGAGATTATTCCAAGTTTTTGTATCTGTTGAGAATTGCTTTGTGGCCAAGTATGTGGTCGATTTTAGAGAAGGTTCCATGGGGTGCTGAGAAGAAGGTATATATATATATATTTTAGGATGGAATGTTCTGTAGATATCGATTAAATCCATTTGAGTCATAGCATAAGTTAAGTCCTTTATTTCTCTGTTAAGTTTTGGTTTGGCAGATCTGCTCAGTGGTGAGAGTGGGGTGTTGAAGTCTCCCACTGTTAATATATGGGGTTTTATATGTGATTTAAGCTTTAGTAATGTTTCTTTTACATATGTGGGTACCCTTGTATTGGGGCATAAATGTTCAGAATTGAAACCTCATCTCAGACTCTGAAATATCATATCCACTAGGCACAATAGACAAATCATCTTTAATCAACATGACCAATATGATTCCCATATCTTCATATACATTTTAATGCACAACTTTATTCAGGCTGAAGATACTGAGAGTTACCAATGGGGAAGGAGTGGGAACTGGGACTCAGTGATGGTCAATATCCTCACAAGAAGGATGGAGAATGTAGTTTAGGGATAGACTGCTTACCTAACCATGTTCAAGTCTCTTGGTTCTACCCCAGTACCACAAAACAAAACAAAGATTCTATTTAAAAACAAAAAGCAAAAAACAGAAAACCTCTTGCAGAGAATGAGTAAGTTAATATCCACGAGCATGCAAAACTAGCACTTTTATTGTTTTTTCTGAAAACATAAACAATTATTGTTTTCTCTCCTAAAATTTCTTATGATATTAAAAAAAAATCCTTCTGAAGGTCTCCCATTATACTGAGATTTCTGATCATGGATGTCTTTAATTTCAACTGAAGTCAAATAGACACCAGTCTGGTCAGTAGGATGAGGGTGGATATGGAATGAGAAGCCCAGAATCACAGGGCCTGAGTTATCCAGTACTCTAATCTTTTGTCCAGGTAAGTTCCAATAAGTAAGACTAAAACTTTCATGGCTAAGCAAACTGAATCATATTTTTAATCAACCTTCTTCATATGAACTTGGTTCAAATTTCTGTTTCCTTGAATGCATCAGGTCATTGATAAGGACCCAGAGACTAGTGTGTTAAGATGTAGAGTATTTCCATTCATTACCTTTGACAGAAGACATGGCAACCACTAAAATGAAACTACTTTGCTCCCTATCAGACAGTAATTTCAGAATGGAGAGGACAAAATTTTATTGAAAAATACAATTTCATTTTCAAGTTTCCCAACTGAGTTTCTACTAGGTCAGTGTGTTGGTCAGTCATGCATTGCTGTGACAAGATACCTGGGATGACAAACTTAAGAAAGGGTCTGCTGGGGCTTAAAGTTTCAGACATTCCTGCCTATGCTCTGTTTCCTGTTGCTTTGGGAAGAGGCAGAACATCATGTCAGGGAATGTGTAGTGTAGCAAACTTGTGATCCTCATGGCGTTTGAGAAACAGAGAGAGGGAGGAGCCGAACTTCTAACACCCCTTTCAAGGTCACATTCCTAATGAACAAATTTCTGTTAGGTCTCTCCTTTTAAAGGGACCTAATTAATTTGAGTCTAAGCCTTTAACACAGGAGTGTTTTTTTTTTTTTGCGGAGGATGGGGGTTATACTTCTAACTATAACAGTTGGTGAGTCCTACTAATGGTTACACTAGACTTCTGTAGTCAAGACTTTCGTCTGGTGGTGGGGGCTGGAAGAATGACTTGGGCATTAAGAATGCTTACTGTTCTCAAGGAGGAGCCAGAAATCAGTTCTCAGCACTCATGTTGAGTGACTCACATGTTAATTGTAATTCCAGGTGATCTTATGCCCCTTTCTGGTCTCCATGGCACCTGCATACATGTGACAGACACACACATTTGTAGATACATACAAATGCATATAGATAAAAATAAATATCAGAAAAAAATTACATCTTGTAAAGTAGCTACCTAGTGATGACATTCCAAAGTGTCTGCTTCACTGTGCTTCATATAATTTTACTTCCCTTTGTTTTGAGTTAATTGCATGGTTCATTGCATCATTCTGAGAATCAGCTTAAATATCACCTTCAGAAGCTTCCCTAGACCACATTACATAAAACAGCAAGCATGCCCATTTTATGGGCCCCCACCCAGAGATCCACTTTCTTATTCTTAGCTATAATATTTTCCTTCTATATATCACATCACATTTTCTCTTAGAATTTTCATGTTCTTATTAGAACATAGCACCATGAGGACCAGTGTCCCAGTCGACTTTACCTAAACTGTACACAGCTTAGAGTCACCTGAGAAGGAAATTTCAGCTGAGGGATTGCTCACATCAGCGTGGCCTTTATTATAATTTAATGCAAAGGGCTCAGTACAATGAGGGTGGTACCATTCCCAAGGTAGGTAGGTGATCCTGGTCTTTATAAGAAGGATAGCTAAGCATGAGTCAGTGAGAGAGCCCCAATCAGAGTCCCTCCATGGTTTCTGCTTCAAGTTCTTGCTTGAGCTTTTGTACTGACTTCTCTCAGTGATGGACTACCGGTATATAAGAATGGAAGTATAAGCCAAATAAACCCTTTTCTACCCAAGCTGCTTTCGATCAAGGTGTTTAATGACAGTAACAGAAAGAAAATTAGAGTAGCAAGAGGTTTGTTTTATTTACTTATATTTCTAGGCCCTAGAACAATTTTGGTAAATGTACATAAATATGTATGAGTGAATTTACTTGCTAGCCTAATATAGGGGACTTCAATGTTGAGTAGCTATTGTACAAAAGCCCCAAATTTTGATGATTCAATGAATGTTTCTTTAAAAATTATTTTTAAACGTGTATGGGTGTTTTGCCTGCAGGGATGTTTGTGTACCATGTGTGGATGGTTCTGCAGAGGCCTGAAGAGGGCATCATATCCCTTGGAACTAAAGTTACAGACAGTTGTGTGCTGTCAAGTGAGTTCTGGGAATTGAACTTCGGCCCTCTGCAAGAGTAGCAAGTGCTCTTCACTGCTGAGACATCCCTCTAGACCTTCCATATGAAGAGGTTTGATTTAACTTGGGGAGGTAATTATCCTTGTGGTTCCATTTAGTTTTTCAGAGAAGTTGAAAGTCAAATGAAGCCAATTTTTTTTTTTTTTACCAGCTTAGTTTCCTGTCACACACAGGTTACATATTCAGTGAGGTAATTTGGATACTAAAGAAAATGTTTTCATACACATACACACACACACACACACACACACACACACACACACACACACACACACAATCTAATGTAATGAATGTTTAAATTCATTTTGACTTTCAGTTCTTTCCATGTGGTTCAATTATAGCACTTTGCAAGTGGATTTTATGAATATTTGTAGAATGGATCTCTGGCTGGAGGGTTCATGGACCCTAAGGACATAGCTACCTCTCCCAAGGAAGTACATATAATTACCCCAATGCACTTCCTGTTTTTTCCCAGGAAAGGTTCAGAAAATCTGTACTGGGAAGTGAAAATGCTTTCAACCATCCAACAAGTGACTCGGAGGAGGTGATACCATTCCAGTTTCATTTTGGTTTACCAAACACATTTATCAAATAGTCCTTACACACGGTACCTCTTGTGTACTTTGTACTCATTGTTTTAAAAATGTGTCCTTTGTGCCTAGTTAAGAGAAATGCAGATTGGAACCACTGTCTGAGGAGCAAAGGCTCCTGCTCTGTGAAAGCCTTGGGCACTCAGGAACCTTCGTTGCACCCTCAGCCAGGCCATACTCTCCTGTTGTAGATAAATAGGCTCCTAACACACTATCAGACTAGATCATTCTGAGACCACCAGGAGATGAAACAAGGCTACGTTGTCTGAGCAAGCCACAAAATGCTGACAGCTTTCAGTCTTTTCGAGCATGAGCAGCTGCAACTTTTTCAAAAGCAGAAAATGCTTTATATCCATTTTAGTTTGCCTCAGTGCCGATGGACTTAATTGGGATTCTGGCTGAAGAACTGCCAGTGCTCCTCGACAGCATCATATCCACAGGAGAGCCTTATTTTTTCCCACCCTCTCCTAAAGTATCCAAACTACTTCTCAAGTCACATAGAAGCTTAAAAAATGTGGTAGCATGAAGATAGATTCTTCCAATGCAAGGGGAATATAGCTGAAAAGTAGATCATAATGTGTAGATAGTGGCCAAAACCTGAAAAATGGGTAAGAATCTTCTACCAACTGGCCCCATGCAAGAGTAAAACTTGTTAAAGTTAGTAAATGAATAGAACAGAACATCTTAAAGTCCTTTTTGGTTCTTCATGAAGTGTTTCATGCACTAGGGTCTTGGGAAAGAATAGTAATTAACCATCTAATACCAATGCCTCTTTGAACACTATTTCATTCCAAAAATCCTGCAAGCCTGCTATATAGGAACCTTAGTCACAAGACATGCAAGAAGAGCAGCAGGTTTTGTGTTTTGTAGAATAGCCATAGAAATAAGGGAAGGTGAAGTGTCTTTGAATCTTGCCAGACAGAGTGGCTAGAATTGCAATCATTGGGGACTTGTGATCACTTAGACTGGCACAGCAGATGAACCCCAATGCCTGCTGCCCTCATCAGCTAGTCAGTAGTTTTGGTTCAACCACATCCTCGTCAATATGAAGCCTCTGAAGGATGTTTTATTTCAGTTTATTACAAACTTGTCCAAGTAATACATGCACAAGGTAAAAAATTAAATAGTACAGAGGAACTTGAAATGAAAACAGAGTTTCCTATCCCACCCTCTTCTCTAATCCCATTTCCTAGATGCTTTTAACAATATCTACTTTTGGATCTTCTGGTGGCTAACTTCCTACCTTTAAATAACATGTTTGAACAATAATCTCTTGACTTATTAACTGTAGACAATCTTTAATAATTCACCCTTACAAAAGATAAGAATTTAACGTACAGCATCTCCACCTTTCCCTGCCTGCCCTTCTCTAAATGTTTGATAGGTATACCATTTTTTAATTCTTTTGAGGGTCTAACATATAGCATTGGCCAGGACACTAACCATGTAGTTGTGTTCCATTAATTGAAGACAGTGTCTATACAACCCCACTTTGAATATTCAAGTAGCCCCACTCTTCCTTCTACTTCTCTTCTCCCAACTAATTCAGTCTCCACTTTCCTGTGCCTCAGCTGGCTGATATCAATTCAATTTCTCTTCTGGGTAAAACATTTAGACTTTCAGGCTTTGTTCATAGGTGGGTCCATACTGAAGATCTATAAGTGGCATCTATATTATTTTGGCTATTAAAATTCATTTTACTGAGCCAAGTGGAAGATATACATGTTCCTACACTCCCAATGTCATGATGCCTGTACCATTGGAAAAGAAACTTACCTACCTACTGCCAATGACCAATCAAGTCTCTTCTCATAGTCCACAAGTCTTCAAAATCCTATCTCATTTTGTTCTTCTTCACAGTTGAGCCTAAATTTCTTGATGGTTTGTTTGTTTATTTATTTATTTTTTTGTGATAAAAGACTGTATGTCCTCCACATTTCCAAATGTCTCATTTACTCAGTATTACTCTGGCACATTCTTCTCAGAGTCCAAGGTTGTGTTCTTTTCTATTAGATAACTACCACTCTAGACGGAGACATCCTGGGTGAGGTCCACTGGTGGCCAGGTCCTCTTTCCTCCTCTTTTTTTTTGGACTTTCATTCTTATTTTTTTAAATGGAAAACTTCCTTAATAATGGTACAAAGGAGAGAAGTAGGTTTTCTAAAAACTCACCTGTCCACAGATATCTTTATTTTTACATTGCTCTCATCAGTCTGACCTATATGGAGTTCTGGAAACAAAAGTTTTCAAAAGTGAACACAAGTAAACACAATTACTCCCTTGACTTCTAGCATTCAGCTGACATTGCCAGGCTCTTCTCATCCAGGCTTGGCTCAGTTGTCCTCTCTTCCCTGGGAACTCGGAGTAAGTTCTCTCTAACCCTACCATTCCAAGTTTTCTTAGCACTGTACCTAGATGTAGTTGGTATTGGGTCCCCTCAGTCTGGTATTCCTCAAGTCTTTCTTCTTCACTCTTCATCCATGCTATCTATATCCTGTCTTCTGGGAACTCACAATGGTTAAACAGTGATTGTCTATTTCTCTTTCCTTCCTTCCTATTGTTTGTTATTTCATTTTTCTGCATATATCGGGAGATTCATTCTACTTCATTTTCCAGCCTATCTATGGAATATTTTTGGCAATCTTATTTTGCTTTACAAATGTTCGGAATTTTCTCTTAGTATATTATCTTACAAATGCACCTCAAATCTCTCTGGAGAGATGGTCAGAATTTTAAGGATTTTTTTCCCATACGAGCTTTGTTTCCTTTACTTTATAATACTTTTTCAATTTTTTTTTACATCTAAGTGGTTATTTTTCTTATGAGTCTCCCTTGGTTCCTTCTATGCATGGAAATTCCTATCAGAAAACACACATTAAGAACCGTGCTAACTATTGCCTTTGTAAAAGACTCCTGTTTCTCTAGCAAATCTCTGTTATGACTAGAAGCCCTGGTTATGTGAGTAGGGGCCTCAATGCTCAGAAGAAAATTAACAGACAGCCTAGGGAGCCACTTACATCCACGAAAAAAATATCATCTGGAGCACTAATTCTTACCTCTCCTCAGGTGGTTTATTTGATTCCTTTATTCAAACAACAAGAACAAAGACAGCTTCACTAGGACCAATGGGAGATTTTCTGTGTTCTATGTACAAGAGTTGGGGCAGAATAGAATGGGGGTCAATTTACAACTGGTACAATTATTTAGTAGCTAGACTTTTCTAGTGCTCAAGTCTCTTTGGGGTTACGGTGGTCAGATCTGGGTATTCTGTCTGAAATGTGCCTTCATGTTTCCCATTCATTAACAAGCTTCATTTACTTTATCTCTTCCAGAAATGTGTTGAGATCTTCTCCACCCAAATGCTTTTAGATTCCTTTGCTGCATGGTTTCAGTTCTCTCTTGCATTCCTTCACTTCAGTTTCAGTGGGGCCTAGGAAAGGAGGGAAGATAAACTTACATGTTTAGTCCATCATCCTAGGTCGGGAGCATCCCTGGAAGTTTCAGACAGGGAAACAGCATAGACAACTTGATTTAAAAGATCCCAGGCTCTACTGCTGAAAGCAGATTAAAGGGGTGGGGTGGGAATGGAAACAGATTAAGGGGAAGGGAGTGAGAATGGAAAAAAAGCTTATTCTAAAAGATTGAGAATCTAATTTTCTCTGAGAACATGAAGCATCTGGGACTTTGGGAAATCAGGTACTTCACTAAAATAGCCCGTGACTCAAAATCCAATAAACCAAAAACTGCTTTCATGTACCCAGGAGAGAATGACAAGCACTCTGAATAACCAGAACCTAAGGAGTTGCCTGATGCTAATGGCTCTCTCACACTTCTACCAGGAGGTACCTTAGGAGCCTGTTTTAAGTTCTTCCTCTCCACTGATGTTCAGGAGAATCAGAGACATTTTGTCCTGTTAAGGTTAGATAAGGGCTAAGTATGAAGACTCCAGGCTCTGACAATCCAGAATATAAATGTTGTTGGCTTGTTTCTTAATTTAATTATTCAAAGCACCACAATTATGAATACCCATTCTGCAATCAGAATGCTTGGCTTCAAAATCATGGACCTACAATTTATTAGCAGTGGTATCTTTTTTTTTTTTTTTTTTGGTTTTTCGAGACAGGGTTTCTCTTGTGTAGCTTTGCGCCTTTCCTGGAACTCACTTGGTAGCCCAGGCTGGCCTCGAACTCACAGAGATCCGCCTGCCTCTGCCTCCCAAGTGCTGGGATTAAAGGCGTGTGCCACCACCGCCCGGCCTTAGCAGTGGTATCTTACATATTCTACTTAATCTCCATAAAATCCAGTTCTCTTATTCATAAAATAAGTGATAATAATTTCTACTTCATAAGATTATTGGGAAGATAAAATGATATACCTATATATGGGGATGAGTATAATGCCTGGAAACACTCAATACCTCATAATTCATAATTATTTTAAAGATTGAATGTTTATGTTCAAAATGCCTAAATGATAAATATACATGAAATAAATTTAGAATTGAGAAGTTGCATGGTAAATAAACACACACACACACACACACACACACAAATTTTATAGTCTGTGCATTCACTCACTAACAAGATATGCAAATAAAATAGATTAGACTAAAATAAATTGAAAATAAGTGGGAAAACTGGTTATGCACAACATCAATCCTAGAGGTAACACTCATTAAAACCACAAAAGATACTTTAAATGAAAATGGGGAAAACCAAGAGATCTTTGAGTGTGTAGTAATTAAATTAAAGTTGGGTTAGCTCTGTGGAATTATCTTGTCCCAAAGTGAAGTTTTCTATATGTATGTAATCGGTAACCCTTGACAGCAACTATGTCTTGAATCTCACTGTGGAAAAATAATAAAAGATTGGTATCTATTGTTTGCTAAGGCTAAACACTATCTTATGATTTTTCTGGTTTTTGTCAAGATCTCTAGATTTTAGCAAAGAAGAAATTTGAGCTCAAAGAACTAGGTAAAGGGATCAAACATAAGTAGCTGTGAAAGACAAAAGAAAAAGGACTGCATTGTGTAACTGGGTGTGGCTGTGCACATCTGTAACACCAACTTGGAGGCTGAGGATGAAAAAAATCATTGAGTTTGAAGTCAGCCAGCCCTGCCTAAATAGAAAGGCCTGGTCTCAAACAATGATCAAAAGAACTCCATTGTGAGTTTAGAATGCTTTCTTTAGATTCATAAAGTAATATACCAAAATAATCTTAGAGGCTGGTATGTGTAGTGTAGGATAGGGTAGGACAGATAACAATTATTTCTTTTAAGTTTGTTTAGTGTGTTTGTGTGTGTGTCACAGAACGCATGTGGAGGTCAGAGGACAACACACAATAGTTGGGTCTCTCCTGCCACCAGGTGACTTTTGAGGATTGAACTCAGCTCTTGAGTCTCGGCAGCAGGTGTCTTTACCCACTGACCACTCTCTCTGGCCTTCAGTGACAGTTACACACTGTCTATCTTAAAAAAAAAAACTATAAATGATTTTGAAGAAATGACAGATGCTCGAGTAGACAGATGTATTATGCTCAATTCAGGTATAAAAATGTATCCATGCATTAGACATCACATGGTATCTTGTTGATATATGTAGGTTTTATATTTTCATGTATCAGTTTGAAAAATGAAAAGGCTATGAGAGCATCTGTTAATACTACCTAAAAGTGAAGTCTGACTCTAGAATAATTTTGGGTTAATTAGGTAATAAAAATGCCAAATGACATTTCCTCAACACCCTCTTACTTCTGTAATTACTTTAGAGGCATTGTAAAACTTAGTTCTCCCAATAATCAGATGCAATAGATCCCATTTTATAGAATGAGATCGTAGAGCCATGGACAAGTCAAGGATCTTGCCAATAACACAGAAATGGTCAATAAAAGACCTAGAGTTTGAGTACAGGGAGTCTACTAAGAAAAAGGGTGATGTTAACCTCTGAGCTGTGAAAGAGAATGGGTCAGCATGAAATGAAGCAACGCTTTAGTTATCAGGCACCATATAGTTCACACGTTTCTTTAAAACCATCAGTCAGACACTCCATGACCACTCCAAGAGGCAGAGACTTTTGCACGTATCCCGAAGACAAGGAGGCCAAGGGAAGGCTTGTCCTCCATGGTTCATCAAGACAGACCAAGGGCCAGCACAGAAACAAATGCCCAAGCTCCCAGCACTGGGCAGGGTCAGGAGGGTACCTGACAACTGAGAGGCAAAGGGGTAGAGCTCATAAACACAGGCCTTATTCCTAAGGGATTCTGGCTTCACTTTGTGCCATGTTCTTAACCCACTTCCTAGAGACAGGAGTCAGGAATAAGACACAGGAGCAATGAATTAAGAAGACAAAGCCAGAACTTTAGAAGACAGAGGTAGAGGAATAAACCCCCACCTCTGCCTACCTCCCCAAACCTCTCTACCTGCCACCTCGATGGGCACTTCTTACATCTGTGTGAGGAGGTACAGTTTCATTATATTTTCCTTCCACTCAGGCAGATAGGCTAGGCTGGTAGCCACTTCCTTGTGGATGGGCCAGGCCCAGGACTCAAAGAACGGAGCCAGATTCTTCTGCACTTGCTGGGAGAACAACTTCACCCACAGATTCATTTTGTCGGCATTATCCGAGGGCATGTTGGTCTGGCTTCTGTACTCCGTGAAGAGGCGAATAAATGGCTCCCAACCAAAGGCCTCTTGGAGCTGGAAAGGGAAAGTTCCAAGTAGGTGAGACATCCAATCTACCAAAAGAAGGACCCCCAACCCACACAAGTGGAGTTAGTCAGTTCAGTCTCCTAAATGTTAGTTCGCTTTGCATCCATCACTGGCCATTTTGTGTGCTGGCCTTACGCCACTAATCTTAAGGAAAGTGTCGAGGACAGCACAGCGCTTGGCAAACCCTCAGTGAGTGGCAGCTGCGGAAGCAGCTCCAGTGATCAGTGCTTCCCTCCACTGTCACTGCTCATCTACTCGTGAGATCATGAAAAGAATAATGTGATCAGAACCCAGGGATTTCACACTGGGTGGGGTAGAACAATCCTCATTATCTTTCACAGTTGCAAGGTTAAATTCCAATAGCTTGGAAATTCCCACAACCCTCATTCATCCTAATACTAATTCACAAGGCCACTAAAAATGGCCTTTGAGGTAGAAAGTGAATCAGGTAGAAGTCTATTAGGTACAGTCTAGATAATTGTAACAAAGAATGAGCTCGTTAAAAGTGTTAGAAGTCGTCATCCTCTGGGGCTATTGGAAAGAGCCCATGCTTGACAGAGTCATAGGGCCTGTTTAAAAGTAACCTTCATGTGACTATTGGAATGAGACCATGCTATCTACAGTCACATGGTTTTGGCGCTAAGGGGCCCCTTGGTAGTTATTAGAACTAATCTGTCTTTACTTCATGGATGAGCCAAGTAGCTCACACAAAGAGAAAGTAGCAGTAAGCATGGACAGTGAAGGATTTGAACAGGTGGAAGAACCAGAATAAATCATGCCGGGCTTGAATCCAACATGATGTCGCGCCCCCCCCCCCCCCCAGTGATCTAGGGACTGATCTAGGCACTGGGGCTGAAAACTGGAGCAAAGAAAGACAGTTCAAAGGCAAGGTGAACCTCCAGACCCAAGGCAGAGAGGAGACCTGAACTGCCTACATACAGTGGAAAAAATTGGGTCACAACCCATCATAGAATGTGTGAGGAGGGTGGCCTGATAGCTATGAAGTAGGAAAGGTGACTTCAATCATCAGTATGCCTGGCTTTAAAGCCACATTGAGTAAAGTGTATTTGTAGTACTCCATGTGCCTCAATCAGATTTTAGATTTCTCAGTGCTATGTTCTCTGTGCCTCTCTCTGGGGGTGTGGTTGACATTATGAAGTCAGTGCAGGGCTATGCACTTTGTAGGGTCATGCAAAGGATTGCACTGAGAGGCATCATTACATTATCTGTTATCCCCAGACTCTCTCAGGGTTTCATATGGCTGAATGTGGGAAGCAGATGGAGTAGGTAATCTCCAGAGTCACTAGCTTATGAATTAACCATGTGGGCTTGGTGGCCCCACTTGTCTTACCACCTCCCAGTCTTTCTCAGTACCTGTAAGTATGTTTCCAATGCAGTCCAGGCAGTCCAGTTCTTTATATTGGGTCCCTTGCTCAGGTAGATTCGGACTCTCTTTTCCCGAACAGGGGGCCACAGGGCAATATTGGCACGGCTTCGAGGTATGCCCAGCACTGTTTCATGTACATAAACACACCACAGGTTGCAGGTGGCTTCAGTGGTGTGTGGCGGGAACTCCCACTCCTGCCTCTGCTGGTTGCGGCCCAGCTCATGCACAGGGCCCCACAGTCCCTTGGTCCTGATGATCTTCTCATTGATGAGCTCCTGCACTGACTCCAGATGGCACATGATGGGATACCCTGCATGCATCCAGCCTGGAGATGCAGAAGAAAGAGGATAAGGTCAGAATCCTCTCACCTCATCATGAAATCTATCTTGGAACTGTTTCTTTTCCAAAACACACAGTAGCCCCAGGCTCCTTCTAACACCCTACAGCTTCAAGAGGTCATCCAAGCCCAGACACTCCCAGGTTTTCCCTCTGCTCATTTTGCAGTGACAATTTCATCTTTCTTCTGACTTGAGCCCTGGGGGAGTATAGGTTGCTGAGGCCTATATATGCTGTTATTGGAGTGTCCTATTTTATGGGGCAGGGTGGTCGTGGTACCCACGGGAGACTGTGTAATTTATAACCCTTTCTCAGATTCTTTGAAGATGCCTCTGCCCCACTCCTCAATGTGGGATTACCGACATTGACACCATATTACAGGATTTATTTATGCAATGTAAAAATAAGGATCTAGAGAAATTTCCATGGGGCTTCCTTGTTTGCACCCACCCCTTTTGTTCAGGCTCCTTGGTTCATTTTCAAACAGCTCTTTGTTCACAGTCTTCCAGTAATCTCAACTAGGTCAAGGCCTTCTACTGTATTTTCCCACTTCTTAAGATTCCCTGAGAGGAACCTAGCAAAGCTCAGGCGACATCTCTTGACTTCTTTGATGACATTTCTTGACATGCTAACTTAAGCTACTATTTATCTTGATGTAATTTCTCCCCTTTTCATTTAAACCACAAGAAATATACCTATATGTCTTGCTAGCAAAAACATTTTTACTCTCTGTACCTTCAAGGCTGTGGAAAGAAGGGAAGTACTTGAGGAAGTGAGCATCACTCGGAATACCCACCGACTGAGATCTGCACATCTGCCACAATCCTCTGTGGCAGCCGCAAAGGGAAAGGCTCTCCACCCAGCCTCGCCACAGCCTTCATCACTTCGTCCCAGAGGCGAAGCAGGGACTCGGGATTGTCCAGAGCTCGAAGATTTGCAGTTGGCACAGTCAGGATGATGTTGTTGGTGGCCAGCTCTCCCCATGGACCAGGATGTTCCTGGAGACGCCTCCTCCATTCTGCCTGGGTTGTTTCCCCTATGAAGAGAGGCCATAGACTTTGAACTGTCCTTTTTCAAATCCCTTAAGTAAAAACATACTTACAACTTGGGCCCCAGATGAGAATCCCAAGATGAAAACCAGTGGCATCCCTTTCCTCCACCCTTCTTGGAAGCCCCTATGGGTATAATTTGATTTTTTTTTCTTGGCATCAAAGCAGAATGTAAGAAACCCACCACCTCCCTCCACTGGTCTACCCCTGTCCCCTGTAATAAACAGCCCCAGAAACGTCTTCATTCTCCACATCTCCCACCTCTCACTGTGCACCTTGTAGTGCTGACTTACCTAGCTTGAAGTATGGAGCACGGACAGCCCCCTTCACTGAGATGGGCACAGACCCCAACTTGCTATGCTGAGGCACGATGATATAAAGGAGACCACCCCAGAGGCAGGTGATTGATTTCACGGGCTTGTCTAAGCAACATCTGTTAATCACAAGGGGGCCTCGGAACAACTTGCTGGCCCTGGTCAGGTCATCAGTATGACAGCCGATTTGTATCTAGAGCAGAGAAATCACCCTCACAGTCACATGAGTGATGGGGTGGTAGTGGTGGTAGAAGAGAATCTGAGGCAAACTCAGGAAGGAGCATTAGGCTATGACCGCATGTACCATTGATGATATCGTGTATGATCATCATGAAATCAGAGCATTTCTTGAGTTCATATGTACTAAGTTATGAGGTAGAAAGTAAACTAATATCCACTGACTGAATACCTATGGAATGTCAGGGAACCTTCCATTGAGGTCTCTTAGTCCTCACTCTATGATATAAGTCAAAAGAGCAAATTTTAAGAGTAGAAGTTGGCATTCTGAGGCAAAATGATACAGAGTCCTAGGCTCCAAAATGTGTCACTTGGATATATTTTGTTATATATCAAAACACAGTTTCCTCATCATTAAGAAGGGAAAAGTGTTTAAAAACTGCCATGAATTACCAGTAGGGCATTATGCTGACCCCATACAATGCCAACTGGGATAGCAGGAGCATTTGGATTCTGCATCAGGTGGTGAGATGGGGAGTGGCCTTACCTTCAGATCAGCCGAGGCAGCTTCTTCAGGCAAGGAGACCTCTATGACTTGCCTTCCGGGTATATAGAGTCCAGTGCTCATCCAGCAGTATCGTGTGCCTGCCAAAGCACAGGAAGGGCACTTTATCTCTGCTTCATACAGTGCTGCACAGACCCCATGAAGCCAACCACTCATTTCCCTGCCTCTGTGCTGACTCCTCCAAACACTGCTCAATACCCAACCCCTGTCTTCTTGAAGAGAAAGACAGTGAAGGATAGCAATGACCCTCTGCAGGTGACCAAACTTACCAGTACCACAGCAATCTCATGTCCCCGTTTTTGTTGATGCACATAAAAGTAAGCTTTCATCCTCCTGCCATACCTCGATTGGTGCAGTTGATATCCACGGTGATGGGAGACTCTGGGGGGCGCAGATGGAGGCTGCTGTACATGTCTTCAATTTCTGGGACTAGTAGTGAGAGGTCACTTCCAGAGTGGGCCAGACCTGTGGCCAGGGAAAGCATGGCCCCCCTACAACAGTCATTGATTACAGGGTTTTCTCGGGTTGCCACTGGGAGCCGATAGCGGCTCAGCAGCTTCCGCAGGAGTCGGTGCACGGACATGTAAACAGGGATCTCCTCTGCAGGAATCTGCAGGAAAGCTGCCCCATCTGGTCCCAGCTTGGCTAGCCAGCCCTTCTCCACATTCCCTCTCTTCCTGCCCATTATCACCTCAAACTCTGCCAGGGTCGAGCGGAAGTGATAGGTCCTTACTCCCAACTTAGGGGTGCGGAATGGGCCTGGGTTGAGGCTTTGGCTTGTGATACTGATGCCAAAAGGGTTGAGGAGCAGGTTTCCTGGGAAGCGAGCCAGAGGGGACACTCCTGGGTTCTTAAAGGCCCACCACCAGGCTTGGGCTCCAACAAACAGCCCGCCACCCTCTGCTACAAACTCCTGCAGCTCCTTAACCCCCACGTCACTCGTGGGTTCAAAGCAATAGACACTTGCATCACTGGTCAGCTGGGGCTCAATGCTGGTGTCTATACCCCCGACTGCAAGCAGACCACTTAGTGTTCTTAGCTCTGTCTGCACCACAATCTTGCCTTTGCGGCCCCCATCCAGCCAACGGACAGCATTGAGCAGAAATGGGCCAAGTTTACCCACAGTGAATAACACCTTATGACCAGTTACAACCACTCGGCCCCGGCCATAGCGGGCAGCTGCTATCACACACCCATGGTAGGTATCTAGCCCTAAGGGAAAAGCCAAAGCCCCATGCACTAGTAGCTGGGATGGGAAACAGTCCGAGTTGGTGATGTCCAGATCTGAGATGCCACGCAGAAGTTCACTTCTGTCATCTGAGAGGTCATCTTCACAACTGCAAAAGACATACATACACTCTTGATTAGGGGGGCCACTCTGCATACAGTTCCTTGAACACTGCCTGGGACACAAGAGCACTACTACTTTGACTAATATTGTTATTTTCAGATGTAGAAGATTTGGGAGAAGAGAGCAGATGAAAATTTGTTGGAAAGGAGACACAAGATATCACCATTAATTCTGATATGCTCATTTTCAAGTCACACATTCTTCAATGGAAACTGCATAGAAAATCTGATACTAACTTAAGTTCATGCTTATTCCATCCATGTCTTCCAGTACCCAAAGAATTAGGTGAGGCATCATGTTTTTAATCTTATAATGGGTTTTGTTTATACATTTCACACCACTAATTTGATAGAAGAGTCTGTGAAAAGCAGAGTTTGTGGTGCCAGCGAATAGTCAGTATCTCAGAAGATGGAGTAAGAGGCAGTCATTAGTCTCAACTCTCATGAGTCCTATGGTCCCTTAGTGGGAGGGAGTACACATCCAGAACTCCACCTGTCCGTAGCTTGCCCAACAGGAGTGCTGCATGCTATGGCATTTTGCTCAGAACCAGTGTTTTTCCTATGCATAACCCAACCCCTCCCACCATGAGGACCTCAGGCCCCCTATAAACTCCAAAGTGAGATTGAACCCTAATGCTTAGGATGACCTCTACATGCTTGCAATTTCAGAATTGAATCTCTCACTTCTGTAGGTGTCAAGCTATGGTACTCATGTGTCAGGAATTGGCATAGAGGTAATACAAAATGGGTGTCAGATAGACAATGGATTTTCAGTTTCTGTGCTGTACACAGCTCAGGAAAATTTTCAGGGAAACTGGGGCCTTGTTGCAGGCTGGCCCTCTCCTTCCTTGAAGCACTAGCCACAAAAATGATAAACTATCTCTCCTGGCTCTGATTTTACTTGTCTTTCACAGACTATTCTGAGATGGGTCAGAAGTTACTAAAATAAAGATAAACTAGTAATTATCACCCGATCTTGTACAGGGCACAATCAGAAAATTGGGAGGGGGGGTATTTACAGAGGTCACAACATAGATGGAACCAGAAGAATCAGAAACCTATGGGAGCAGAAGAATCTGGAATGCATATAAGTAAGAGAAAATGGAGAAACAAAAGGGCCAGGATTATCATTTGTTTGGGAAAACACATCACAGGAAGCAGGATTGATCAGCCCAGAACTTCAGTGCACTCTACAATGGACGAGATCACTACACATCACAACATACAGATGGTCAACAGGTCTACAAAAAGGTGCTTGCCACCACTACTCACCAAGGAAATGGAAATCAAATCCACAGTGAGGAACCTCTCCCCATCTATTAGAATGAGTATTATCAAACTGTCAAAAGATATCAAGTCTGATGAAGATGGGAAGAAGGAGAAATTCTTGCAAACTGTTGGTAGGCATGTAAACAGGTTTGAGGAGTCCTTGAGAAACTAAAATAGAACTACCATATGACCTAGCTAATCCTCCATTGAGTAGGTACCCACAGAAATTAGATCAGAGACTCTCACGTTCCTTGCAGCATTTTCACAATAGCCAAGATAAGAAGAAAATCTCAGTGTGCTCAGTGATGAGAACATAATTTGTTACATGAAGTTTTGGTGAGGATATGACTTCATTTCTTTGGGGCAATATTTAGGAAGGAGATGGCTGAGATGCTACCAATCTTTTCATTTTGTGGTCTTGTGCAAAGTCATCCACAGGCAATCTTTGCCTAAGGCAAGGTTGCAAGTGTTTCTGTTGTTTTGCTTGTCTCATTTGCTTTTTCTGTGCTATCATTTAGAAGTTTTTCAGTTTCTCTTCTATACCTGGGTCCAGACCTGTTTTTGAGTATTGTATGAACTACGTTAAGGGTCAGAGTTCACCTTTTCCATTAGGGTGTCTAGTTGTTCCAAAACTATATGTTGAAAACACTGCTTGTGTTTCATTTATTTTAGTACACATTGTCTCTTTTCTTATGTTTAGTTTCATAATTTGTGTCTATCAAGAAGTCTGTTTCATCTGTGTTGTATAATTTACTGGCATAGATTGTATCAGTTCCCTTATTACCCTGTTAATATCAGTAGACCCATATTAATGACACTCCTTCTATTCTTAAAATTTTTAATTCTCTCTTGTTGTCATGATCAGTTTATTTAGCAGTTATCACTTTGCTGATGTTTTTCAATCGAACAAGTACAGATTGTATTGATTTACTCTATTCTATATATATTCAGCACATAACTATCAACGACCTCTAAGGATTTACAGATCCTTCTTGCAAATATTTACCTACACCTGCCCTGATGTTTTCTAAGTCACTTGGGGGAGACAAGCTAATGTTTATTTTCAAATTTAAAAGTTCGGAAATCTCTTACAGTAATCTGAAAGTCTAAAGATTCTTCTATGGCCAATATCATTTCACTAATATTCAGGATGGAAGGGACACGTATAACATACACTTGAAAGTTGGATAATTCAGGTTTCAATGTAGTGTTTAAGCAAATGTGTTGAGAGCATGTGGGTATGCAGGCTATGATCAGTTGTCCAGCATTCATTTCTATGCATGCCTGATGACTTTGGGAGCACACAAGGATAGCACTAACCAGAAGATGTGAAGGGAATGATGTCTAAAAGGGGAACCCATAGGGTGTACTTAGCCACTCTCCTTCTAGGTGGAAAGAGTTGGAAGGACATCCTAATGGCACCCTGTACAGTTACTAGCCTTAGATCCATTTCTAGATTCTTCTGCACTACAATGCATAATGTCTTGCTACACAGTTACTTGGCTTTTAAAATGTCTTCCAGATATTGTCACTTGAGAATCTTCCATGCCTTTTGTACTCAGATCTTTGCAACTCAGTCCTAAGATAATAAATAATATCTGAGACAATATTCAATAAACTCTGAAATGGGTAAATGAACAAAAAGAGAGCTTGAATTCCTTGGAGAAGTCCCAATTTGGGGTTAAGATGAGACAAGGTGACTTCTTTCCAAAAATAGAGAGTACATAGATTGTCTGGTTAATTTATCATGAAGATTTATTAATTTCACTTACTTTTCATCCTTCTAAAGGCCTCATTGTTTCTTCCTCACTCAATCCAATTCACTTTGTTCCCATCAGTCAGAAATAACAGTGTTATTTGTTCTGAGAAAGCTAAGGATTTTATGTATAATGAGAAGTGGACTAGTGTACATTTTCTGCTTTTAAGAGGACTGCATCTTAGAATACCTTTCATTCCTCAATCAAATTACACATCTAATGAATGTGTGCTGAGTGCTTATTAATCTGTTGCATATACAATACTGTTTGTACATAAAACCAACCTGAATATACTCTCAAGAACTTTCAGTGAAGCTTGCCTCTGTACCAGCATCGTCTTCTCCATTCTCAGATGATCATTTGACCCCAGAGATAAAAGTCCTCTTCGAAAGCCTAGTATGTGTAACTGTACTGTCTCTTTTCAAATCAACTTCCAAACCAACAACTTCCTGTTTCCATCCTAACCCCATGTAAACATTTCAAAATACTTCACAGCCCTCCAGACTTTGGCCCATGGGGTTGTTCTGTGGTTTTCTTTTTCTAATATTTAATACTCTGAGCCTCAGAGTATTAAAAAAAACATCTAATGGACTGTGGCAAATACAGGTCTGAGTTTCAAATTCTTTTTTATTGGTCTGGAAGGAAGCTGAAGATGGAATCATGTCTGTGTTTTAATATGAGGCCAGCTTCCCACTAGGTAAGATACTCACCTAACTAAGACAGGGATCTTAGGCATCTTCTTAGAAACTTTATAGAAACTTGTGTCAGCCTTGATTTCAGTGAAGTACACACCAGCCACACTGGTCACCAGATTCCCAGGAAATGTGAACAGAACTCTTTCATCTTCGCCCTGGTTAGCCCAATCCCAGGCTTGGCCTCCTATGAGCAAGCCCCCTCCACGTTTCACAAACTGGACCAGCTTATCAGTCATGCTTTCATTGTAGGCATCAATGCAGTAAACTCCCAGGGAGTCATTCACTTCGGGCTCAATCGTTGAGTCTATTCCACAGCTCTCGAGGATTTTCACCAATGGTGCTAAGGATGAGTGTATACCAATGGCAGACTCAGAGGAGGAACGAAGCCACCCCACAGCATTGACAAGAAAGACAAAGAGCTGGCTTTCCACCAAGTAGTCCTCATGAGCTACTACCACCATGCGACCTCTGCCATAGGAAGAGGCAGCAATGAGGACCTGGCCCATGTCATTCACCATCACAGGAAATGAAGCCTCTCCAATAAGAAGCAGTTCACATGGGACAGCTTCCTCAGGAACATCCCAGCTCGTCACTCCAGTCATAAGGGCCTCAAAGGCAGCAGAAGGAGTCGCCATGGTTTTGCTGGTTTCTGCAGAGAAAAAGAGGAAAGATTCAGTTTGGTGAAGAATGGCTAAGTAATCAAAAACCAAGCAAGGTATGGTTGCTGTGGAAATGACCTTACCATGTGATAAGACTGACATCGAAATAACTCGAGGCTCAGTATACACGCATTTAGTCCATCCTCATGGTCAAACTTAGAGAAAGTAAGATTCTATTCACCCACAGAAGGAAACAGCACAGAACGGAGGGATGATGGTAGAATTGTGTCTCCAAAAGACGGTAGTTTGAATTCCTAACCCTCTGTTATCTATGAATGTGACTCATTTTGGAAGTAGGGTCTGGAGGTGATACCTAGTCAACAGGAATCATGCTGGATTTGGAAATTGGAAATTGAGAGATTGAAACATAGCGTAGATTTCTATCAGAAGATGGAGATAAAGAATGTTGAGATGTGTCTGTAGACTGAGGAATACCAAGGATTGCTGGCAAAACCCAGAAGCTATAAGAGAGGCATGGAACAAATTCTACCTCTGAAACTTCCGAAGGAATCAGCACTGCTGAAGCCTGGGCGCTACAATTCTAACCCTCTAGAACAGTGGCTCTCAACCTTCCTAATGCTACAGCCCTTTAATAGAGTTCCTCATGTTGTGGTGACCCCTACCATAAAATTATGTCACTGCTACTTCATAACTGCAAAGTTGGTACTGTTATGAATTATAATGTAAATATCTGATATGCAGGGTATTTGATATGCAATCCCTATGAAAGGGTCATTTGACCCCCACAGGAGTCATGACCCACAGCTTAAGAACCACTGCTCTAGGATTTTGAGGAAATAAAATAGCATCATTTTAAGCCACTCTAATTGTAATCATTTGCTGTGGAAGCCTCTGGGAACTGGTGCAGTGGTGCAGACTGCTCTGCTCTCTCACTCCTCCCATCCATCTTCGCTTCCTCGCTGATCTTAGTAACCTCAGTTTGGAGCATTTAAAACAATAGGCTGAACAGTCAAGGATCTGCAGCTTGGGTCAGTGTCACAAGCTGAATAAGAGGGACATGAAAATTCTCTGTGGCTGAATACCTGTCCCAGACAACCAGAAGCAGAAAGTAGCAAATTATGAAATTATGGCAGATTCTTCCTTGAACCCAAGACATAGGTGAGGAAGGTGTACCGGTATATGTCAGCTCCAAACACCCTTTGCTTCTTCACTGCAAGTGCCAACTCAATGCTGCTTTATAATCTTCCATTGGTGTTCAGTCATGTGCACATACCACACATTTGCACTTCTACTTGTTTGGTTAAGAGCAAATCATTCAATTCACTTCTGTTTGTGAATAATATGCAATACTCACAAAGTAGACGAAGAAGCATAACCTGTTGTTGGATATTGCAATCACCAGACTGAGTGTTTATTCATGGTAATTGCATAGTTCTTCTATTTTGAAGCTAATGTTAAGGCTAATGCTAACCCTGAGTAATAATGGCAATGGCGTATATTTTTACATATTTCTCTGGACCACTGGAAAAGTCCTTGGCCTGTGTGCTTTGACTTTCACAGCCATGGATGGGAAAACCTCTGTCCCAGGTATCTAATAAACTCAAGTCTCTGCTGAAAAAGTGCAGCGATTATCTGTATATAGCGTGTCACTAACACAGAAGCCTTAAATTTGAAGTTGCACATGGTGGTACATTTCTGAAATCTCAGCACTCAGGAGGTAGAGGCAAAGTGAGAAAATAAAATCCTGTTACGTTAAGCCACCCTATGTGTTGTCATGTCATATGGCTGCCTCTGGGAACTGATACGGTGGTGGTCTATGTCACTAATTCGAGGGCAGTCTTGGCTACATGAGACTCTGCCTGTGAAAAAAAGAAAATCTTCTCTCACAGAAAAGAAGAGCTTCTCTAAGCAAAATTATATCAGATGCCTTTAGCTGTTAAATACCAGCATTAACTTTTTAACCACTTCACAGAATATCTAAAGGATACAGAGTCAGGAACTGGGTAGGGAGAAGCGTGTCCCTTCCTCGCCCTTCCTGCTGCCCACAAATAACCGGGACAGCAGCACACTGTGCAGAGTCCTAGTGTGGCCACTCTTCCTATTTTATCCTACTTCCATTTGGCCACAAGCCCTGTCAATGTCTTTTCTGACATTTTGCCAGCACACAGCGATTAACCCAATTTGGTTCTTTAGTAATTCATGTCTGTACTGAAGGAATCTGGTTTCCAAGTCTCTTGGGCCTGTTCCTACCTTTATTCTTCTGAAAGTACTCTAATAATATTTTGTCCTTGAAGAGCAATCCACAGAGCTTCACCTGTGTCCACTGGACTCCCTTCCCCAATGTGACCTTCCACTGGGTAGGGCGGCTGCTCCTGCAAGTTTATGGTGGATGCCCTTCTCCCTCCTTCCAGCTATTACCAGGATAGTCTTGACTTCTCCTCCCTCCCTCATGTTTTAAGAACAGGACAGATTCTCCTTCTCCTCCCCTCCTCCCTCAAACTATTACCTAGGACAGGCTCTGCTTCCATTGCCAATTCCCTTTCTGTCTCCCCCTCTCGCATCCACACCACTACCTTTCTGTCCTTGGGAACTCTACTTTTCTAAGTTAAAATGTACACAGAGGAGGAAACTTGAGACATTTGGTATGAAAAAAATAATGCCATGAGACAGGCAATAGGAAATATAATTAAGGTTATTAAAGAATGAACTAAGAGGAGGAGGATACAGAGTAGAGAAGATGGGAAAGATGAAGGAGAACATGAAGATAATTAATTGACCCATCCATACTCCCTTGTAATAAGAGTGGCAGATTTAAAGATATATGTCCATGGATCCTGAATGCCCCACAAAACTACAAATGGACACCAGTAAGTGAAACCCAGGAATGAACATAGATCAAAGACAAGGGAGTTTCCTAGGATCATTTTCATGTATGTGGGTTCCAGGTCTGAAACTCAATCATGTACTTAATCAATTTCCACATATCTCCCTAGACACTCCATTGTACCCCAATGATGTCCTATTGTATATCTCCTCACACTCATACACATTCCCTCAATAGATGTCCATCAGACTCTTCTGTTTTGGCCAATGCTTTCCACAGTGTAGACGGTCACACACTCTGAGAAGAGAATTCATATTCATCTTTCTATCTCATTAGTCATTCTTAGCTAGTTTGTGTGTACATGAGCTAAATCTATTTGGCATCTACTTAGAATGACCTAGATAATACTTTTAGTGAGGATTTCAAGCCCCCGTGTAAATTTTGAACCTATTTTCTGTGACTAACACAATGATAACAAGAGTAGCAACTGTAGCAATGACAGTCATAACAACACACTCATCAGCTTTCTCATATTGTAACACCTAATTTATTAAATTTGCTTAATTCCAACAAACTTATAAGGCATATATTATCATTATCCCCATAGTACAGTTTCTGGGGAAGAAAACCCCAAATGTTTTGAGTGGCCAGGGAATTTGTCACTTGCTTAATATCACATAGGTAGGTAAATGATGAATCTAGGATCCCAATACAGGAAATGCAGAGCTGAAGTACAGTTCTTTTAAAATAGGTATCTATTTTATGTGCATGGATATGTGTACTGGCTAGTTTTATGCCACTTGACACAAGCTAGAGTCATCTGAAAGGAAGGAACCTCAATTGAGAAAGTGCCTCCATAAGATCCAGCTGTAGGGTATTTTCTTAACTAATGATTGATGGGAGAGGGTCTAGCCCATTGTGGGTGGTGCCATCCCCAGCCTGGTGGTCTTGGGTTCTACTTAAAAAACAAACAAAACAAAACAAAAACCAGGAGAACAAACCAGTAAGCAAAGCTGCAGCCCTCCACAGCCTCTGCATCAGCTCCTGCTTCCAGGTTCCAGCCCTGCTTGAGTTCCTGTCCTGACTTCCTTCAATGATAAGACTATGATGTGGAAGTATAAGCCAAATAAACCCTTCCCTCCCCGACTTGCTTTTGATCATGGAATTTCATCTCAGCAATAGTAACCGTAACCAGTACTATATGTGTCTGAGTAGTATGTATGTTGACCATGTGCCTGCAGGAGCTGACAGAGGTCAGAAGGAGTTGGAGTCTCTGGAATTCGAATTACAGGCAGTTTTGAGTCACTATGTGTGTGCTGTATTTGCTAAGTTCCAGGGTTTTCTTTATACTCAGAGGAGCTCCATGGAGCCCACCATTAAACACAGCAACCTTGTCATATTAGGAAGGGAAGAGGTGAAGAGTTTTTCTCATACAGATTTTCATCCTGTAAATCGCTCCCCCATAGTTCTTATCCTCTCTTCCCTGTGCTAACTATGGTCCCTTTGAACTTACAACTGTCTCCTTCAGTGCAAACCGTATCCCAGGCAAAACCTGAAAGCAGACTTTCTAATCCTATCATAAAGCAGTCCCATAGACTCAAACATGGTTTTCCCCATGAAGGATTTATGGGATTGGAGGTGGGGCCATCTTGGGAAAAAGGATCCCTCACAGCTTGCATTTCAGTTTGATTTCAGATCTTGAAACACAGACTTAAGTATGTGAGATCAGAGAATGCATTTTATGATTTGCATTCCCTAGGTAGCTATTCCATGGATGTATGACTGAAAAATGGGTATGAGACTAAACGCACACCCAGGGGTACTTCTCAGTAAACAGCTAGCCTGACCTTGCGTTAATATCCGGAACACAGTTCTCGATGTCTTCTCTTTCCCATGCCCTTCTCGTCTAAGAAGCCTTTCTTTCTTATACATCGGATATTTTCCCCAATGTCCACCACGTTCTGCTAAACCAGAATTGAAACTGCTTCAGTTCTTTTTTTTTTTTTTTTACACTCCATCCTAGACGGTTTCCATTACATCTTTATTTAATTTTAACTTAAATTGTTTCATTCACACATCTCCAATCTCCAAGGATGTGTAATGCATACAGAAGAATAGGCAATAAAATGATAATACAATAGTTAAAAGGCTAGGCTTCCATATACATGATTATGATTAACAGCATCAGCACCCCAAAGTCATATC